CAGTGTTCGAGAAAGTGGTCGTTGAGACGTCACTAGGACCTCCGGGGTCCCTGTACCAAGAAATGGACCTCCGTCCGGCCCGGAGGGCCGAAAAATTTTACCTGATATATAGGGTCTAAAAAATTTATTTTTCAGGATGATGCCAGCGGTATCGGCAAGAAGGAATCTACCACGTGAAGCTGACAAACCCTCCAGCTTGGATAAACCAATAAATATATGAAGATTCGCATTTATTTGAATAAATATGTACTAAACCTACTATATGACCAAACAAAGCAGTCAGTAAAGCAAGCAGTGTCAGCATGATCAATCAACAAGCCAGAGGAAGAGAAAGCGAGAGAGAGAGAGATAAAGAGTGAGCGAGAGAGGCGGAGAGAGAGACATGAGACAGAGAGAGACAGATAGGGAGCGAGAAAGACGGTTTTTGTGCAGTTTTTCGCGTTTTACTCCTAAATCCCGTTGCCGGTTTAAAAAACATTGTATTAGAGAAATGTGCGCCTAACACGTCTGTATCAGAATCCGAAAAAATGGAGGTGGGTCATCCGACTCGATTTCGAGCGACGAGCAATTTTCCGAAAAAAAACCACTTTTTCCCAGTTTTTCGCCTTTTCTTCTAAATCCCTTCGCCCGCTTCAAAAGCAATTTATTACAAAAATGTGTGCCAAACCCTTCTACATTATAATCCGTAAAAAAGGAGGTGGGTCATCGGACTCGTTTTCGAGATCCTAGGACCTCCGTGTTCAGAAATAGTCAATTTTGCAGTTTTTCCCCTCTAACTTTTTTTACTGCCACTATTAAGTTTTAAAATCTATTACCGAAATGTAGAGCAAAAAATTCTGCGTCGAATGATATCCTGGACGTTAAAATTAAACCCAAATTTAAAGTGGTTCCAGGACCTCCAAGGTGACGACGTCTGAAAATCGCTCCGCGACGCAACCTTTGCCTACGTTTTTCCACACCGCATATCTCAGCCGTCATTCTACCGTTTCTCAAAATTTTTCCACCAGTCTGTAGCCCGCAGTCTAGTCTACAACTCTTCTATACATTGCATCCCTCTATCACCTTTCCTTCAGGTCAAAAAAATCGAAAAAACCGCGCCGAGGTTATGTTTTGGGCCCTTTTTTCGCCCCAAATTTGGCCTGTTTTTCCGCACCTTTTCCCCAATTTCTCTGCCCTCCCAAGAGCTAGCAAGATGATCGACCCCTCATTTCATAGCAAAACCCTTTCTCTTTCTGCTCACCAAATATGAAATCGTCCCATGCTCCGCTTCATGCCTAAATCCGGTCCCGTTTAGGTGATGTCGCCGATCGCTGCACATCAATCATGGCCCTTTCTCCCTTTCCCTTCCTTTCAAATGGCCCTATACGTTCTCCCCTTCCATCTACCAGTCACTTCTCTCTTTTCTAGCGCTTTTTCTTTCTCACTTTTAGCCTTTTACTTGCTTTTCCCTCAGACTTCACTCTAGTCGCGCGCCTGTCTGACCCCCCTTATTTTCGCCCTCATTTCCGCCGATTTTCCCTTTTTTTAGGACCTCCGGACCCTTTTCCCCTTTAGGACCTCCGGACCCCAGCCCGCGACATCTGGTTACCGAACACTGGACTTTTCAAAAAAAAAATGTTTTACCGATTTTCGAGGTCAGAACGTCTCGGAGTTTTCATAATTCCGAGATTCATTTCCATTGAAAATTACCGCTAAAATCAGCCGCTAATCGGTACCCCCGGTTTTAGGATCGGCTTCATACGCTTTTTAATATCAGAATTTTGCAAAAAAATGTTTTGCCGATTTTCGGGGTAAAAAGTGCAGCATTTTTGGTAATTGCTGATTGTTGTTTTTCTCCGCAAAATCCGCCAAAAAAACGAGACACACCTAGTTCCGGATTGGTACCATCGGTTTTAGCCTAAGATTCGCACCCTATTTCAACTTTAGAGTTAAAAAATGTTTTTCCAATTTTCGAGGTAAAAATGCGCGGGGTTTTTGATAATTCCGGAATCAATTTCAATGGAAAATTTTCTAAAAACGAGGCACGACTCGATAAGCTCCGTACCACCCCTTTAAAATTAAGAATTTTGCAAAAAAATGTTTAGCCAATTTTCGAGGTAAAAACGGTTGCATTTTTGATAATGGTGTTTTTCTTGTCGCGATAAATGCGCTAAAAACGCGACACACCTCCTTCCGAATCGGTACCCTCGGCTGCGTCGTATTTTGAAGGGCCATCGGAATTCGGACGTACGGCTCGAGCTGGGCGACGGGTTGCGATAAATTGCCGATGAAGAGGGGCATCGCCGCCGGGGCCGCCGTACCCCCAAACGCCAGCGCCATCACCCTAAAAAAATCAATAAAAATAATAAAATACCTTGATTTATAACATTTTATAAACTAGAGGTTTTTAGGCACCGTTTATACTGTAAATTCCGCTTCTGCTGAATTAATATAGCCTAATAATAATAACAACAACAAGTTAGCAGTAAAAAGTAGTTTAGCAATATTCATTTTAATTGATTAATAATAATTTTAAATAATACCTTCAATAATAGTAGAAATTTTAAATTTAAAAATCTTTTTGGCCAGCTTTGGTAAAAACATGATCAGCGAATCGGACGATCTTCAAATATATTTTTTGCGAAATTTAGAATTTTTACGAAATTTTAGAAACAGAAATTAGATTTTAACAAATAGCCCCGTAAAGTACTTTTAATAAGTGCTAATTTCAAAGGGCATTTTCATAGTAAGCCATTTCAAACCGAAATAATTATACAGAAAATTCCCTAAAATTATATGCTTGAAAAATCATGTTTTATCCTATTAGCTCGAGGATTCGATTAATTTACTGTTAATGACGTGAACGTAACGAGTCGAATTCAGCAATAGCTACACCGGAGCCCCCACCCCCCGCTAACGCACCAGAACCTTTCCATTTCCGGAGGCAACTTTTATAATAGGGAACTAATCATAGAAAAAATAATCTCCAAATAAGGGATTTCAGAAAGCATAAAAGCATTTCAGTCGAAGCTATATTCGTAAATGGATACAATTTTACTTAAACTTAAATCAAATTAAGCTAAAATTTAACTCGCACGTTCCTGTCAAAATGGCTTATATGATGTTTCAATAGTCATTTTAGACTGTGTCTAACGATATTCATTGAAAAAGCATGTTTTACCTAACTAACGATTGGATTCCTTTACGTCCTTTTTAATCCGCTTTTTCACATAATCCATCACTAAATTTAATTAAAAAAAATTATAAAACAACGGATTATATATCTTTATTTAAGTTTGCTAAGTTGAAAATCCAAAAATTTTTATTCGTGCTCAAATCAATTGAACAGAGGCGGTTCCTTCTACTGAGGTTTTCTAGAATTTTTCGAACAGCAAATTTTATGAAACATTTTTTAATGATTATTTCATAAATATCCACATGCTTTTTCAATACAAAAATTAAAAACATACTTTTAAAACTCCGCGATGCCGCGGGTGAGGCTAAATCTCAGCGCCGGCTTCAGCCGCAGCTCTTCGGCCCGAGCCTGCCAAAAAATTAGTAATAAATTTTTTTAACCCTGAAAGTACACAAATCGATAAAATACAAAGAAAAATAATAGAAAAATATAGAAGAAATATATCCGGTATTAAACCGATAATCAATAATAATGGAAAAAGAAAAAAAATTCAAGAAAAACAATTTATTATGCCATGAAAAAATCAGATACTATTATTTTTAGCCATAAAAGCGCGAAAATATTATACAAAAAACCTCTACAGATCACCAGTCAGTTAATACACAAATATACCCGTAATAAACTATCGATCGTCATTTGGTACATTTTCGTAGCTCGAAATCTCGCTAATCATCACAATAAAGCTCACAGGAATGGTGAAATCGGGAAAAATTACTCGAAAAAATTCTATAAAACCCGAGACAATGAGCGAAGTATATAGAAAACTAATTATAGCATTAAATCAGGAATTTCCATGATTTTTAGACCTCCTTCGACCTAGTCAACGAGTCGCTCTGGCGGCGCTGGTGCTTTTTCGGGGTGTTTTCGGTTGATGATGAACATCCCATCGGAAGGAGGGAGATCTCCTCTTCGACGAGAGGACTGCGATTCGTCTGCACGTAGCCCTGTTGCACCAGGAAGCGGCCGCCTGAAAAAGAGGATTAGCAGAGATTAATGAGGAAATTCTTTGCTCTTTTTGGCAATTTTCTTAATTCTTTAAAAAATTGCGTAAAAATTGAAATTTTTGGCCTTTTTGGATATTTTTGATAAAATTATCGAAATTATGAGCTAGAAGCGGTTCTTTAGGAATTTCGGACCTTAGGGCACGCTAGCAGAGATTGTTTGAGGAAATGGACGGACCTCGAAAGGAGAGCAGGCTAGCAGAGATTGTTTGAGGAAATGGACGGACCCCGAGAGGAGGGCAGGCTAGCAGAGATTGTTTGAGGAAATGATGAATTCAAAACTTTAAATTTCAAAATCATTGGGGTGCGAAACTAACCAATAAAAAGTGTATTGAAAAATATGGTGAGATCCCGAGAAAAAGGCAAAAGAAAACGGGTGTGGTGCTCTCACCCGGTCATTATTGAACCGAATTAAATCGGCGGATTCCTAATTTTTTCTATATTACGCTATCCGCAACAGTCGATTCTGTTTTCCTATTTTAAGCTGAAGCGGAACAGACTAGCAGTGATAGGGAACTTCTGAAATTCCGGGATTTTGTAGCACAAAAAATGTTTTACGCGACAATTGGGGGTGATCTGGGCTCTGGACAGCAATTCAGATCTGCAGCTGAGGTGCTAAAAATTCCCTGCTAGCCTGCCGCCGCCATAATGTCGTGAACGAATCTCTGCTAGTCTGCCATCCTCTCGGAGTCTTAATTTCCACTTGAAATCTCTGCTAGCTTGCCATCTAGTGTTTACAAAAATCGCTAAAAACCAACCATCACTTCCACCAAACGGCGTCCTCCGCGGGCGCTTCGCGCTGCCCCCGCCAATAACGCGCCACTGGCTGAGCGGATTCTTGGATGTCTTCTCGGGGGTGGTGGGGGCGAGTTGTTCACGGCTCTGGTTGACGCTGTAAGAAAAATGTATGTATTCATAGTCAATATATTGGCTTAATTCGATATTGGCCGTCTCCTAATCCAATAAATTAGGCCATGCTATTCGCAACAAAACAGGCAATTTTGAGAAACCCATTTTTTGATTGAATGTCGAGCATTTTGAGAAATTTACATTTACTTGGAAAATCAATTTATAATCCGGATTTACTTGCCTTAAAATTTGAACGGAAATACCTTCTTAATAAAATTTTATTTTAAAATTTCCGGCCGATCAAACCGAATTCTTGGACTTATTTCCTTACCTACCCAAATGAACGTCTACGGAAAGTCAAATCGCCAGGTCCTTTGACTTTGGTCGAAATTTTTTGAAACGATTTTTATTCAACCACCAGCCCCGAAGGGCTTTAAATTTCCGTGGAAAATAATCTATCCCTGAAGCAATGCGAAGGTTCTTAAAAATTTAATTCCTATTTAAAATCAGATAAATCGGTTTCTCCCTGCCCACTAAAACTTCGATATTTGACGCTGCTGAGGGGAGGGGACCGTTTTCGTTTTCTAAAAGCAAGTTTTCTAAAAGAAAACAAGTTTTCTTTTTTAGACCTCCCAAAGAAATTTTAATGATCTAAAACAAAAACGTCTACGCATTGAGCCAGGGAACTCTCGGCCTAATAGGCAATTTTGTGAAACGCCTTTTTTGAAAATCATTGTAGCGCTCGAAATCATAAATCGAAATGGGGTCCCATCTTCTTAAATCATTACTTCAAAAATCATTACTTCTAAAATCATTACTCTAAAGTCGTTACTTCAAAATTCTAAGCGTATTTTGGATAATATGCGAAAAAGGTAATGGATACAAATTTAGAAGTAACGTTTAAGTAATGATTTAAGTAATGACTTAAGTAATGACTTAGATGATTAGAATGACTTTGAGTAATGATTTTGAGAATGACTTTAGAAGTAAGATTTAGAAGTAATGATTTTAAGTAATGATCGTACCCCCCAATTTCTAAGCTTTTAAGTTTCAAGTTTTTCTAAGTCTCCCAATTAAATTAATTAAACGATTGTCTTTAATTTTGGCTAGTTAACTAGTTTGTCAAAGATATTTAAGTGCCCTGTTAAACGCGGTAATTTTAAGCCGTCTGTTCTAATCAAGTGCGAATTAAAATCCTCCCTGGCTGTCAGGGGCAACGAAAAATCGAAACTTTAAATTTTTACAAAAATCCGGAAATTAAATAGAAGAGAAACGATGAAATAGGAATAGGAGAAAAACCCAAAAAATTGTGGTGAAACGGAAATACGTCCCATGACATCTATGAATCAGCCAAAAACATCAATAATATTTCGGCGCGTTTCCTCAGTCAATGTATTCGGAGTTGTTATCATTAGGGGCATCTCTAGACCAGCGAGAGAGGGAGAAAGAGAGAGAGAGAGAGAGAGAGAGAGAGAGAGAGAGAGAAAGATCGCTTTCACCCCAGCCAAAACAATGTCAACATTTCTGTATCCGGAGGGAGTCAGAGATAGGGGGAAAGCTTCATATTTTTTATCGATTCCATTCATTTTAGTTCAATGTCGTTTCCCAATTAAAGCAATTATAGTGTATTAAGCTACCCGAAAATACGAAACATAATAAATAGTAACCTTCAAAAGATATTTTCATTTGATTGCACGTTTAAAGGGAATTTCAGGACGTATAGTTCAAAATTATCTGGAAAAACAAGGGTAGAATAAAGCCAAAATTGCCTTTAGAAGCATAAGTATTTTTAGGGCACTTAATTTTCAATAACGCATCCTATACTTCCTAGCATTAATTCAATTCCGAATTTTTCTCATACGAAAAACGTTGAAACTTCACAACTTAAAAATAAAAAAGCCCCAATTCAAAATTCGCACCGCAAAAAGCTCATTTTAAAAATGGCCGGCATTTTCGCGACAAATTTGCAATTTTTTTGCGTGGTTTTCGCGAAAAACATCCCAAAAAATCATGGTGATTGGCGCTCTAGCTAAATTTCCGCTTGCTTGAGTTTGATTTTTATGTTCCGGATTTTTCAGTCTATTAAACTCCTAAAAATTGGTGAATACAGCGTGGTATTCCCGTTGATTACCCAAAAAAAATTCCAAATTATGCCACGAAACCACTTACATTCGAATAAACTGGGCAATGTTGGAGCGCAGCTCCATCAGCTGAGGCGTTTGGAACTTCTGAAAATCAGGAAATTGGCAAGGAAAACGCGGAAACTCATTAAATCCGGCCGATTCGAGAGAGAGAGAGAGAGAGAGAGAGAGAGAGAGAGAGACAGGTTCGGGTTTTAATTAAAACACCTACCGCAGGCCGATGACGAGCAGCCTCGTGGAGAAAGGCGATTTTCTGGATGAGCGTCACGGGCAGGGCGGGAAGGTGGTCTTTCTGAAAAATTACGAATTAATCGGCGATTTCCTCAAACAATCTCTGCTAGCCTGCTCTTGTCTAGGGGTCTAAATTTCCGCTAGGAACCTCTGCTAGCCTGCCCACCACAGAATTTCTCAAAAAAAACCCACCCTCAACCGTTGCAAGTACTGGTACGTCGTCTCGCCTGGGGCTCGGCCGTACGCAGGATTGAGGTGGACCATCGTATCGTCTAAAGTAGATATACTCTGTCTTTTTAAAATATCAACGTACCAATAGCAATCGTAATCTCGTCCAGCGCGATCATACGATTCAGATACGGCTTGCGCACGTCTAAAGCGTACTTTGAATAATTATAAAAACTGAAAACTCACGCGTCTGAATGGCGAGGCAATCGGTGAGCTTGGGCAGGTAGGAGAGCCGCAGTTTTTCTACCTAAGACCGTTTTTTGAGGTTTTTAAAACTAAAAAACCTGGTCGAGTCCCTGCGTGATGCGCTGGCACTGTTTTCCGGAGGCGAGTGCTTTGATGCGGACCTCCGGGACCCTGAAAAAAAATTATAGACGTCGTTATATACTTTTTAAACCAGTTTTTATTAAAAAAATCGTCGCTTTCACGATAAGACTATGTGATAATTTTCCAGAAGGCTTCGAAAGCAGAAAACGTTTTTCTACATACTTTTGATATGAATTTAGATATTTTTAGCCGTTTAAAAGTTTCAAAACGAGTTATAAACATATTCAACTGTGTAAAACGTAGAGAAATCGGAGAATCGTAAATTACTATATACTTTTCTTGAATTTAGAAAGCATTTCACCTTTTAAAACCTGAGAAACAAGTTATAAATTCTTTTCATGTCCGAAAAAGTCAAGAAAAAAATAGAAAATCGAACTGACTAGATATTTTTCGATAGTTTTAGCAAGAATTTTAGCCTCCGAAAAAGTCCTAAACAGAAAGAGAAACATGTTTCAAAACTCTACAAGGTTGAAAAACCGATAACTGTGAGATTAACAAGTCTTTGATCTCCATTCTTAATAGTACTGACTTCCTCGAGTTGTTGATCCTGGAGCGGGACACTTGGCGCTGCACGAAGAGCGTGAAGAGGATGAGGAGCTGAACAGAATTTTGCCTTTGTTATAAAAGTCCTTCGCTTACCGTTAGAAATATGGCAACCGTCAGCAGCAGGCTGGCCCCGTCAAAAATCAGCGAGTGCTGCCGAGTCGGCTTCAGCGGCTGCTCGTCCAAGGGTGCGCCGCTGGACATCCTGGAAAAGATAGTTTTAGCTTATCGCTAGAAAACCGAGGGAATTCAAATAAATCAGGTAAAGAAAGTAAAAAAGCAGCCAGGACCGAGTTTTCGAGCTAAAAATCAAAATTATTCGCACAGTTGTTTCAGAAAAATAGCGCATTACCTCTGAAAAACGGTGATTAATTCTTGAAGGATGTCTTTTAAAGCAAATCAAGCTTCAAAGATAAAGAACTGTAGTTTTTTTAAGAGAAAAAGGTAAGAAACAGTTCGGCGTTGGCTTCGCGCAATATCATAAAACTTCAAAATATCCTTTCGATAAATTGAACATCCTTCAGAACATTATCAGTTGTAGTTTTCGACGCATTTTACAATCATAAAATGGCCGAACCGGCCTTGAAACTGTTAAAGACCCGGAAAAGAAGAAAAAAAGAAGATCACGAAGAAAAAAAGAAAGACGGATTTTAACGTTTTCAAGCCTGCTTGAGTCTTATCTTCTTCAGAACACGATAAAGAGTCGTTGTAGGCCTATTTTATCCTGATAAACTGACAAAAGCCACCCTAAAAACTAAATAAACTTTATAACGATAAAAATTATTTATTTTAGTGTTATTTTCAACGCTTTTCAGCTCTAGAAACCTATTTTAACGATTTCCAGCGTATTTATCGTATTTTCAAGCTAAAAAACGCAAAGAAAACGTAAAAACGGGGGCTTCTGCTGCAACTTTGCACCTATTGGCCGCCGGGGCTAACCGAATTTGCGATGCACGGGGGCATATCGATCGGCTCGGTGGTGCGTTTTGGGGTCGCGTCGTGTCAACACGCACACACCACTCCGCGGGTCGGCCGGCTCAGAACATCTGCGAACTTTGAAGAAACGTTTCAAAAGTCATAAAAAGTCTTACTTTTTGCTCCTTTTACCTATCATAATCTTGAAACACTCCCTAGCCCATCCTTTTCCTGAAAAATGCGGACCTGCTTTAGTGATAATCAATAAGGATCCTGAAGAAACGTTTCAAAAATCATAGAAATTCTTGCTTTTCGTTGGGTTTTTTTGATATGCTTACGCAAATGCTGAAAATCCTTAGTACTGCTTGCCTAACTTAATGCTTCGTCACAATTTAAATGTCTTTCCTGGCTTGCGACAGCCCTTTGTTCAAAAACCTAATTTACCTGTGCTTCGGCTTAGTTTAGTTTGGATTATATTGCGCTGGATTAGCCACTGGGAAACTGTCAAGTTGCCTAAAAATGACCAAAAAATTTTGCCCCCCAACTTCAATAGTACCAAAGTTTCAAAAATCGTATAAATTCTTATCTTTTGCTTATTTTACCCCAAATTCCCTTCTGAATAAGCTAAATCTATGTTTTTCTTGAAAGCACGTGCCTTTGTTTACATAGAAACCACTGGGAACTTGTTGCAAAGTTTTGTTTTGAGACTTTTGCCGTCCTCCGACAACGAGCAGCATTACCTTCCTTTTCTACTCGGTGTGCCCTATCTTTCATTGAAACCTTTTTTCCCTTGATTCTTTTATATTCTCACGATTTTTAGAAATTTTGGCTTTTTAGATGAGCGAAATCCCGGCCGACTGGATCTGGGATCAGGATGCGGTCAAGGACACGCCATCCGCGCGCAGAGGTATTTTTAGCTTTTACTAAAAATTTAACTGTTGTTTTCAGGAATGACGCTGGATGAGGAGGACCGGCTACGGCGCGAAGGCGTCAAGATCATCATGGAGATCGGCAAGCTGATGAAATTGTGAGGAGTTTTTCGGATTTTAAAAACTATATTTTTAGAAAGCTTTCACCGACGCTGGGCCCGGCCGCCGTCTTCTTCCATCGCTTCTACATGGTCAACTCTTTTCAGGAACACCCGCGGGAGGTGCGTTTTCTAGATTTTTTTGTGCATTAATAGGGTTCCAGAATTTTTGACGGAATAACATCACTTTGAAAATTAGCAATTTTTCGATGCTTTTCGGTTTTTTGTACGTTTTTTACTGAGCAAGAGAAGACACTGAAAAACCTATTAAAAATTTAGCAATTAATTAAAAAACGAATTTGAAAAACTTAAAATCGACAACCTGAAAAGAACGTGTTTTGCTTGTTTTAGGCCTAAATTTGCTTGGCTAGGATTTACTGGATGACCGTGAGAAGAATTTTTCTGTTTTTGTTTATTTTATTATTGTTTTCCGGTTAAGATATAGTGAAATTGTACTAAAAAAACGATGATAAGGCACTATTACGCTACTGGGCACGTCTAGACTAGAGGAAAAAAGTTGATGCCTGAACAAATTTTTATTTCAAACCCGTTTCAAGCTTCTTTCTTTTGTTTAGGTCTTTATTTACGAGCTTGCATCACTTTAAATGCAATTTTAATTCCAGATGGCCGCCCTGGGCTGCCTGTTCCTGGCCGGCAAAGTGGAGGAGACGCCGAAGAAGTGCCGCGACCTGGCGGTGATGGCGCGCAACAAGTTCCCCAGCCTCTACGACCGCCATCGCAATTTGATCGTCAGTTTTTTATGCTTTTCAAATAGCTTGTTTCGTTCAAAATTCATGTTCCGTTTATATAGTTTCCGACCCTTCAGGACGAGATCATGGCCTACGAGCGCATCATACTGCACTCGCTCAACTACGTGCTCGTCATCGAAATGCCCTACCGCCACATTGTCGACTACGTGACGGCGTTTCATGTGAGAATTTACGCGGTTTTTGAGCTGGAAGGCTAGCAGAAATTTTCGGGAAACCTGCGGGGTTCATTTGAGCAATTTTTCGTAATTTTGTTGCTTTTTGCACGAAATTTGAGATGAGCATTAGCAGCCACCTTTAGGGCAAACTAGCGGAAATTTTTGGGGAATTTTCAAGCATCTGGGCAAACTAGCAGGGCGAATTTGAGAATTTCGGTCTCACCGCCTTTTAGGAAATTGAGATTTTGTGGGGTAACGAGCAGAAGTTCTTGTAGGTTTTCCAAAACTTTTTTTAACCGTTTCCCAGGGCCAGCTAGCAGTGCTTGTGTATGAATTGCTATTTGCCTATTTCCTTTATCGTATTGTTTCAGTTAGCGCCCGACCAGAGCAAGATGGTCATCCAGACGGCGTGGACGTTCGTGAACGACTCGCTGGCGACGAACATTTGCCTCTGCTGGGAGCCGGAGGTGATTTTGACAAAGATTTTTAATTAATTAATGGCTAAATTAATTTTTAATTAATTGGGTTTTTTACATGATTTGTTTAACTAAACTAATTTTATTATTCTCTTTGTATTATATTTTTATTGATTTAATATCGCCTTGAATTCTATTTTTTTAGATCATTGCCGTGGCGTTGACGAAGCTCGCGCTCACGATGAAGCGGCTCGAGGAACGGCCGGGCCCGAATTGGTGGGACCAATACGTCGCGAACCTGCCCGTCGACATGATAGAAGAGATTTGCCATCGGGTCAGTTATTTTCAACATTCAAAAGCCAAGAATTGTCTATGCTAGCTTGTTCTGGGGTCCTTAAAAACACTGGAACTTGCTTTTTTAACTTTATTTTTGCATGGAACGGCGAATTTTCCCAAAAAATCTCTGCTAGCCTACCCTACCCTAGGACTCGAATTTTTCAATTTTATTAAGAATTAGGCTTAAAGGTTGTTAACTGATATGGCAGCAAGCTTTAAAGGCATAATTTTGGTTGGATGGGAAAAAGCCCAATGATGGTAGCCTGGCAAAATAATGTTCCGGAAATCAATAAAACTGAAAGGCGATGGCGAATTGCACTCCCTGCGGCACTTTTTTCCTAAGTATCTCTGCTAGCTGCCGAATTAGATATTTTACAAATTATATTTTTTATTTAATTCCACATTTTCAGGTGCTCGACTTGTACGGCCTCGCGGAGACGTTCGACTTCATGACGAACCAGAATTCCGAATCCCCGGCCACCCCTGTCACGCCGCTATCCTAGCTAAAAATAGTCTTTATTTATTGCCTTAAGATTTATCAACCCTGCCTACTACCTATTTCTAAATTGTTCTCCCCTTCATTCCGAATGTGATGTTAACTTTATTAGAAAATTTTCTCCCCATCGTCCTTTCCGGTTTTTAGTGATTGTTCCGTTTCATTTGTTTGATTGAGGTTTTTGGTTGTTGCTCACGGGTTGGATATGATAAACGCCGCTTATAAACTACATTTAAAGAACTTTTAATGAATTTAAAAACGTTTTTGAGCATTAACGGCAAACACGTGCTCGTGAATTACTTATTTAGTCAGAAACTCGGAGGCTGGAAAAATTTGAAACATCTCTTTCTTCAAAAGTTCTCTGCTAGCCTGCCCTGGGATCCGAAATTCCTAAATAATCTCTGCTAGCCTGCCCTCCTCTCGGGGTCCGTCCATTTCCTCCTCCAATCTCTGCTAGCCTGCCCTCCTCTCGGGGTCCGTCCATTTCCTCAAACAATCTCTGCTAGCCTGCCCTCCTCTCGGGGTCCGTCCATTTCCTCAAACAATCTCTGCTAGCCTGCCCTCCTCTCGGGGTCCGTCCATTTCCTCAAACAATCTCTGCTAGCCTGCCCTCCTCTCAGGGTCCGTCCATTTCCTCCTCCAATCTCTGCTAGCCTGCCCTCCTCTCGGGGTCCGTCCATTTCCTCAAACAATCTCTGCTAGCCTGCCCTCTCTCCCGGGGTCCGTCCATTTCCTCAAACAATCTCTGCTAGCCTGCCCTCCTCTCGGGGTCCGTCCATTTCCTCCTCCAATCTCTGCTAGCCTGCCCTCCTCTCGGGGTCCGTCCATTTCCTCAAACAATCTCTGCTAGCCTGCCCTCCTCTCGGGGTCCGTCCATTTCCTCAAACAATCTCTGCTAGCCTGCCCTCCTCTCGGGGTCCGTCCATTTCCTCAAACAATCTCTGCTAGCCTGCCCTCCTCTCGGGGTCCGTCCATTTCCTCCTCCAATCTCTGCTAGCCTGCCCTCCTCTCGGGGTCCGTCCATTTCCTCCTCCAATCTCTGCTAGCCTGCCCTCCTCTCGGGGTCCGTCCATTTCCTCAAACAATCTCTGCTAGCCTGCCCTCCTCTCGGGGTCCGTCCATTTCCTCAAACAATCTCTGCTAGCCTGCCCTGGGACCTGAAATTCCTAAATAATCTCTGCTATCTGTAGTTTATAAATTGGATTCATTTGCGATCTCCTCAGACTTTGATCAATTGCTCCCCTTTCCGGCCAGCGATCACAAAATAGATGTCCTGATAAAGGGCATCTATTGATAAGTGGCGCGTGGGCCTTTTGAGCTGATTTGGCTGCTTGTCCAGTTTCTGAAAATAGATTCGCTCCTGAAGTATTAGCTTCTAATATTCGGCTTTTAAAAATGCTCCCAGATACCCAGGCTTTAATCGATAATTTGCCGGTTACGGTGGGATGGCTACGAAAGTTGTTGGAGGCGAAATTTGGGCATGAAGTCCAGCTGCTAGAGGTATCTATTTTATTTTTGGTTAATTCTAGAAATCAACTTTTCTAGATTTTAATGGCTACGGATTTAAAAAAACGTGTGTAAAAATAACATTAAATTTTTTTTACGATTTTTCTGTTTTAGAACAAATTGCTAACACTTGCCAAATTTTAATAAATTTTATAGACGTTTAAAAAAGCGGTTCTGTTCTATTTCGCGTGGGGGAAAAAACTGTGCGGGGGAAATATGCTTCGCGGAACCTTCCATCTTTTCGCTATTTTCTCGACAGTTTTGCAACGCCATTCGATAGAGCATCAAAAAATATACTAAGAGTTTTTGTTTTAGCTAAAAATATTGTAATATAAAAAAGTTATAGCAAAAACAAAAAAAAACTATTGAAACTGGTTCCGGAATGCTAGTTTTCAGCATTTTCGCCAATTTTTCGATATTTTGAACCCGTCATTCGATAGAGCTACAAAAAAAATACTAAGAGTTTTAATTTCATCTAAAAATATTGTTTTATAAAATAGTTATAGCAAAAAGAAGGTTTATTCAGTGTTTTCACATGGGATCGTGGAGTCGAAAGCTAGTTTTCGACATTTTCAATAACTTTCAAAAATTTCTTTAATGCCATTCGATAGAGCGTCAAAACATATACTAAGAGTTTTAATGGCAACTCAAAATAGCATCATATGAAAGAGTTATAAAAAAAAACGAAGAAAATTTCCCCCCCGCACAGTTTTTTCCCCCACGCGAAATAGAACAGAACCAAAAAAGCGTAGGCGATTAAAAGACACCCTTTGGCTTTATTTAGTCTTTATTTACGGAAATAAAGCAAAAAAAATTACTTATCCGCCCAGATACCGAATAAATGGATCCTCGTATTATTAGCTGAAGAATTCGCGCATAGTCCGAATTTGATGAAACTCAATTTTTCCAAAAAGAGTGAAACCACCTTTGCAGAAAATTTTGGTCAAAGCCAGATTTTCCTGATTTTAGAAACTTTTAACATGCTATAAAAGTCCTTGCCCTCGAGAATAGCGGGCCTATGGAAATATAGGTCAAATTTACTCTCGCCCGCTAAAGAACCAGAGCCAAACCATGGTGAATAAGAATCAGATCGCAACCGATCACCTAATATTACGCGAAAAATTCTTGAAAATTAAGGTTTTTTGAAAACTTTACTTTCCAAAAAAGAATAATGAACCCAGTTTCATATATTTTTGGCCAAAAAGTCATATTTTACCCAATTTTCATAATATTTAGGAACGTTTATGCGATCAAATCCGATCGAAGCGAAAAGGGTTCACATTATTAACCGAAGAGTCCACGGAAAGTAAAAATTTCCTGAAACATGATTTTGCCCAAAAAATTATCGAAGCCATTTTGACTGGAACTATCACCGCAAACGAGGCACGATTTAGTTTTTGAAGCTAGCGAGGTCATAGCTTAAAATTTATATTTCAACCCGCCGTACCGCTAGGTTGCACCGCTTTCGGGTGTCCTCGGCATGATGTCGGCGCTTCGGCGTGTTCGGCTACATTGGAACGCTACGAACAACACCAACAACAACGAGCTACCGGAGACGGTTATTATAAAGGTCGGAGCAGAAAAAACGGTAGCTCCATGAAAGCGAGAAATCAAAAAGTGCAGCCCATCTGAGCTGCGTTCCAAAATTTATGAATCCCCAAAAGGAGATTCGGGTTTACTACGAACTTCAAAAACAGGATCAGATCCTTGCATCCTGTACTTTGGTGCGGCTGATCTTGTCTCCTAGTGGGCCAGGTGTGCGACTTTCACTAATGGTCTCCGAAACGGAGGATCACCGGATCGACCCAAAAGACTTAATGAACTGAATGCATACCACATAAATTCGTACCTTTCCGATCCCAAAGAGTCTCTGCTAGCTTACCCAATAAATTTCATTTTTTACTATTATATATATTTTTAAGATGCCAAGCAGCTCCCAGGCGATCCAGAATCTTTCCTCTGCCACGGGTTCAGATGATATGGCAGCTTATACCGAGAAAATTCAACGAATTATGCACAACAATGAAGTTGGCGCCTACACGTGGTTGTCTTCAGGTGAGACAGTCGCCGTTTCCTAAATTGTCACTGCTAGCTTGCCCCGATGGGTCTACGTCGGGCCATTGAAAATTTTTGAACATTATCGACCAAATTGATTCTGATCAACATAAAATGGCTATAAATGTTTTGGAATTCAGATTTTATAATGCTTTCAAAGTTTAGAAAATCACTTAAATGGCCAACGATGGTTCCATTTTTAGTAGCGCCGCGCAACGAGGCAAATCCTGCAAAAAAACCCACTATCGCGGACTCCGAACACAAGTTCCCCAAAAATCCTGAAACATGATTTTTTAATTTTATTTAAATTGCTTTTAAATTTCTTTGCGCTTGGCGTTTAACTACTCTAAAAAACCTAGAAATCAATTTGACCGTTCGGCTAGCACCATTTCGATTTCTTAAGATTTACATTTGATTTTATTAAGTGAACTCTATGCAACAAGAAATATATTTCCCACGGCGCAAGCGACTCCGCATTAGTTGCGAACATATTATTTTACTAATTAAAAAAAATAGTTCATGTGTGTGTGTGGACACTTTGCATAAATGCCTCGAAAAAACCGGGTTACCAAGATATCGGGAAGGGGAATCAATTTTAGGACCCAGTCGAAAGGTATTTAGGGGTAGTCGAGGACGTAGATTACTGCAAGCTTATCAGATTTTTAATAAAATGACGATTTATACCTTATTTTAGCGATTTAAAAACATATGGAAAAATCCTCATTTGCATACGAGGCGCTAGGAGGCTCATTTCGAATTTTGTCGCGCTAGCGGCCGGTTGCTTTTACCGTTTTTGGGTTCGCTCGAATTATGCAAAGTGCCCAACTTTGAGAGTTCCGTGCGCGAAGGCCAGGGGTGAAAAGCCGCGTAGCGGCTTGTCAACCCTGGTTTTACTTAAAATTTAACGAAACGTTGTATTTTCCAAATGACGAATCTGTTCGTACTTGTATTGCTATCCCAAAATATGATTTATTTAAAGGCACTTTGAGTTTAAATCTAACCGGGAATGTATTACTCGCACTTATTGGATTGGAACACGAACACGGTCTGTCAAACCGAAAATATCATTTATTTGTTAGTATTTAGTATTTTTTAGCTTTCCTCTCGTACCCCACCACGACGGCTTTTTCGTAATTTTATTTTTATAAGAAACATATGATTTATTTAAATGCTTGATTTTAGCTTCAATTTAAGCGAAAATATAGTATTCGCACTGGTCGGATGCTACATTAATTCTAAGCTATTATTTAGCAATTGGAAATTGTACGGAACATTGAATTTTGAAAAGTGAAGGGTCTAATGGAGAGCATAGCTGAATACCACTTACCTTAAATGCTGTAACCTTTAATTTTTTAGTTTAACTCTTCTGTCCCTCCACCACGAATCTATCGTATTTTATGGTTATACGCCAATTCCGAGCTACACAAATCAATAAATTGAAGCGTAAATCCTACGGAAAATATTACTCGCGCCCCTCGGATTCGTCCGGCCATTCGTTCGAAAAAATTATTTTGCTAAGTGAATTTCCATGGAACATTGAATTTTGAAAGAGCAGGGTCGACGTCAGACCAGTATAACCAAATAAGACATCCAATTACCACGCAACGAAGCAACATTCAATTTTTTCATTTTCGACGACGAATCTATTTATCTGTTTTTCGTATTTATTTTAAACGAAAATTATGAATTATTTAACCCATTGATTTCAGCTTAAATTTAACGGAAAATATATTACTTACGCTGGTAACATAAATAGGCGAAGTGAAGCTCCTTCAATTGTTAGTATTCCTTTCAAAATACCACCTCTAGTCGGCACTTCTCGGGGGCATATCTCGGCCATCCGATGTCCAATTTTGATGCTCTCAACATCTATCGATATCTACTCCTCGAGGGCGATCGATTGGTGTTAAAAGGCAAATGATTGTATGCAGAGATATCTCGCTTAAAAGCTTTCACTCATTTTTCTGCGAAACTTCTGACGTCTTTATCATTGCGAACGTCAGTTTTTGGGTGTTTTGAGGGTCGTCTTGTGATAGAGCATCCGAAGATCTACCGAACCATATATCAAACTTTCAAATCGGACGTTCCTGCTGGTTTTTACAGCGGTTTAAAGATTTTGTGCCATTACTTTCTTTCCAACCTGATAGCATGCCATTATAGCTGCGCAATACCTCTTTTTTACGTATCAGAGACGAAACATTTTTTTGATCAACTTGCAAATTATAAACTTTGTTTATTTATTTCTTTATCATTGTTTTTTTTAGTTTCTCCCTCGCCCATCCCACATCCCCAAATCTACGCAGCCCACAATCTAGCAACCCCCACTCCAATAATTGTCATGGAAGAATTGGAGGGGAATTTGGAAGTCCTACAACACGGATTTGACGAGGCACAGGTTTGGTACTACAGTTATTTTGAGGGAAAATAGAAGATTAAAACCTGGCAGTAATTCTGGATGCCTTTAAATAGACTAAAAATTGTCTGGAGGGCTAAGGGAGGCTAGCAGAGATTCTTTGATATTACAAAGTCGGGATTTTTGCAAGGTAAAAATTCCATGTTTCAAAATTTCTCGGATTCCACAGGTTTCTACCGTCATTAATGGGCGTTTTTCTTCTTGAGCGTTTAACAAAACGACTTTGAAAGTTTTTAAAACGATGGACGGACCCCGAGAGGAGGGCAGGCTAGCAGAGATTGTTTGAGGAAATGGACGGACCCCGAGAGGAGGGCAGGCTAGCATAGATTGTTTGAGGAAATGGACGGACCCCGAGAGGAGGGCAGGCTAGCAGAGATTGTTTGAGGAAATGGACGGACCCCTAGAGGAGGGCAGGCTAGCAGAGTTGTTTGAGGAAATGGACGGACCCCGAGAGGAGGGCAGGCTAGCAGAGATTGTTTGAGGAAATGGACGGACCCCTAGAGGAGGGCAGGCTAGCAGAGATTGTTTGAGGAAATGGACGGACCCCGAGAGGAGGGCAGGCTAGCAGAGATTGTTTGAGGAAATGGACGGACCCCGAGAGGAGGGCAGGCTAGCAGAGATTGTTTGAGGAAATGGACGGACCCCTAGAGGAGGGCAGGCTAGCAGAGATTGTTTGAGGAAATGGACGGACCCCGAGAGGAGGGCAGGCTAGCAGAGATTTTTAGAACAAGCTGTCATTCGAGAATAGAAAGAATAAAAATCTAGAATTTTCCTAGAGGTCGTTATTTTTTGAAACGTCTTTTAAATGGAATTCCAAAAATTTTAGCGCTTGAAACCCAAATCACGAACAATTGCATGTTAACTAATAAAAAATTTATAAACTGATATTTTCAGTTATTCGAGATCACGGAAACGCTGGCAAGATTCCATGCGCATTGTCTGGCCGACGGGTCGTGGAAAGAGGCGGAATTCGAGCCGATGGTAAGATGGTTTTAAAATAGTTTCTAACTCATTATATGTGGAATTTATCTAAGTGTCAATAGTCGTGGTCACATGTACTTCAGCTTTGCCTCTCTTTTTTTTCTTACATATGTTTTTTATGCAGGAAAATTATTAGAAAGAGGGTAGAGTATCGAGCGAACTAGATATTGGCGCAATAAAAAGTGGCTTGAGACGATAATTATATGAAACCTATGTTTTTCAACCACTAAAAAGTAAGGCAATCAAGAGAATTCCTAGACGGTATTTTAGGCCTTTTTTGGCTTCAAAGGGACCCTGAATAGTCAAAAAGTCAAAAGGCACCGATCGAGAATCTTGCCTTAATTGTCGACTGCGGCTTCGGAATTTATCGAAACATTGATTTTGAAGCAAAATATTCAATCCGAAACTCAGAGACCTTTCAAAATGTAAAATAAAAAAGTTATAGCTAAAACATTCCGGGTGGGGTGGAAAAATCGACCGTAGCCGAAATAAATTACGTTAGCTATCGATTTTGTAAAAAAATGTAGATTTTGCAGATTTATAAAATATTGCGTTGATTATGGGGGATTTTAGTAGTGTTTTATGGATTTTAGTATAGTAATGAACAGGCGGTCGCCAGAATTTGTTAAAACATTTATTTCGAATTAAAAAATTCGAGAAGCGGTAGTCCAGTCAGGACGAAACGGCTTATTTTCAAAATGTCGAAATTCATAATGTCGAAACTCATAATGTCGAAATTCATAATGTTGAAATATCATAATGTCGAAATTTCATAATGTCGAAATTTCATAATGTCGAAATTTCATAATCGCGAAATTTCATAATGTCGAAATTTCATAATGTCGAAATGTCATAATCTTTGTGTGATTTCCGAATCAAATGCTACGATATAATAATCTTAATACCACGCAACGTTCTTTTAAATTTTATCTTAAACCCCCATTTTTTACTTCCTTACTTACCTGAAGTTATTGACGATGGAAAAAATGACGGCAGCGAGCGATTTTATGAAACACATTATTTTATGCATATTGTTGAAATAGGAGGAATTAGGAGTATTTTATAACTGTAATTTAGGCTTTTTGATTTCCAGGTGACCTTAAATAATTTGTTATAAAGCAAATACCAAATTTACATCTAGCCTTGGTTCTCGGCTGTGGCGCCAGAATTTGTTGAAACATGTATTTTGATGCGAGAGGATACCTTAAAGAGATGCCCAACCTTTTCGGAGCTCAAAAAGCAAAGCCATGTCGCGGCCGGGGGTCGAACCCGGGTCCCCGGTTTTGTAGGCCTGGATACTATCCATTATGCACATTCAGCAGCGCCGGTTTTCCATGAAACGTGGAAAAATTTGCATCTACACTCGTCCACATAATTATGGAGCCACCCAAAATTTTTCGAAAATCTCGATTTCTGGCGGCTTTCAAGAAACACTTTCTATTAGTGAAATAAGCCGTATACCATCACAACTTTACACAACAAGTCCGTTTTTTGATTCGAGAACACAAAAATTTTTAACGAAGGTTTTCGCCTAAAAGGCACTTTGGAAAATCCACATAATTATGGAGCCACTCTGTGAATTTTTTTATAAAATATGAAAATCGATAACAAATTGCTGAAAGCAAATTCAATTGGCGTGGCGGCTCCATTTCTTTGTACGAGATGGAAAACACGGCTGTCCATGCTCAGGTAGAGGTTATCGAGCAACTTCTGGTCGACTTGATGCCACGCGTCGATTATGGCCTTTTTGAGCTGGCATACGTTCCGATAAGTCTTGTTTCCATGTTACATCTTGCCTACCATGTACCCCCAACGGTTTTCAATGATGTTCAGATCAGGGGAACAGGCTTGCCAGGCCAGGAGATCGATTCCTCGGTTTCGACACCAGTCCTGAGTTCGAATGAGGGACGTCATCTTGCAGGAAAATGAACCTTCGGTTCCGATTTCTTCGCCAAAATGGCAGAATTCCCCATCGCAACGCTTGTCGGTAGTCGACTCGGTTCATTTTATGAGAGATGAAGCACAGTTTGACTCGTCCTTCTGAAGAAATGGCTGCCCACAGCACGACGCTACCACCTCGAAAGTTGCGTCGGGCAAATCGGAGCTGGTCTTTTTGCAAATCGTACCAACAGTGGCGGAACACGTCTGGGCGATCACATTTCAACTTCTCTCTGTCGGGAAAAATGACTTGAAGAGATTTTGAGCCGTTTAACGAACCCTTACTTTTCGCCAGTCTATCCGCTGATTTCGCGGAGCAATTGCGACGCGATCTTGGCGATGGCATGGGTCGAGCATTGGCGCTTTATTCATTCTCCGCAATCTTATGAAGTTCCTCTTCGAAAACAGGCGTCGGATGGTTTCTTTCGAGAAATCCGGCTTCAAATCGGCTTTAATTCGGGTAGCGGCCGAGACTTGGTTGACTGCTTTTCGGAATATGAAGCGTTTTTGGCGATCGGAAAAGAGTGGGGGGGTGGCCTGGGTGTACTGCGTTTGGCGAAAATGTCGATAATTTTGTGGCTTTCGCCCATGTCCCGAGCGATTTGTCGATGCGACAGGCCCTGTTTCAATTTCGCATCAATTTAACCCTTTTCAAAGTCAGATAGGGCTTTCCCGCGCGCCGTCCGGCAAAACGATGATCCATTAATTACTGGAAAATAGAAATCAGGCTGGTTGTGTGGATATCGAAAAAAAGAAGAATTGAAGAACTCGAGTGGCTCCATAATTATGTGGATTTTCCAAAGTGCCTTTTAGGCGAAAATCTTCGTTAAAAATTTATGTGTCCTCGAATCAAAAAACGGACTTGTTGTGTAAAGTTGTGATGGTATACGGCTAATTTCACTAATAGAAAGTGTTTCTTGAAAGCCGCCAGAAATCGAGATTTTCGAAAAATTTTGGGTGGCTCCATAATTATGTGGACCAGTGTATTTCCGGTTGAAGAGCGCGCCCTGGTGAGAGAAGCAGACGTCTCGCATGCAAATTTTTCAACGATTCGTGGAAAACCGGAGCTGCTGAAAGTGCCCCTTTAAACAACGATGTATTCGGTCACCGAATATTTGCTACCCGTCACCTAGAGCCCGGCAATTTGTCGCAACACTTTTTAAAACCTTTTTAGAGCGGAAATTTTGAGTCATTGATTTAGTTTCTAAAAGCTATAAATAACTTGTAGCTAAAAGTCAATAACTAAAATGTACGTTTTCAGGAATTCGGGAAAATGTCCACCTTCGGCGACATGATAAAGCAGCTGGCGGATGGGCTGAGAAAGGGGAAACCTGGCTTTTGGGAGGTATGCTTGCGTTTTGAAAACCATTTTGATTTGACTTATTGATTTTTTTAATTAGGTACGATAGCAGAGAAAATTGAGGAATCGAAACTAATTCAATATAAATGAAATAAAACGTCTAAAAGGTTTCGGAAGAAGGGGGGAATTGAGCCTCCGGGCATCATTAGCGAAAGTTCCCCACCTGGCCCACTGTCCCGACATATAGCCGGAACCGGACGGTCACGAGTAAGGGTTTTCATCCTACGTTTGAGGTTTGTATCAAACCCGAATTTCCTTTTGGAGATTCATAAATTTTGGAAAGCAGCTCGGAAGGGCCGCGCTAAACTAAAAATATTTTTCTTTCAGTGCCTGGATCCGCTCTTCGAACACACCGACATCCTCGAGAATTATCAGCTCGGTTTGATGGAGAGAGGTGAGCTTCGAAACTTGATGGGTATAGGGGTGCCGACCCGCTAAAGAAACTGTAGAAAAAAGCTCTAGCTCAATTTCACAGTATATTTTGGTAGATTGCCGGTTTAATCTTTAGGGTGTTTGTGTAGATTCCAGTCGTTAGAGAGCTGCTCCTCTGGCTGCTCCAAATAGGGTGATTTGTTTTAATTATTACTGAGTTATTTGTTCGTCAATCAAAAAATTGGCCTTCTTTCCAGTTAAAAATGTTTCGACACAAATCAGTGATAGGCTGTCAGGAAACTCCCCAATTCGCGTAAATTGTCGTTGCCAATAAAAATATTTGCATATCGCCGGGCCTAGTTATTCTAGCTATGTAGTGGTAAAAAATATTTTGACTTACTTATATTTTCATTTATTATTCATAAGTATTCCATTTTTGGTTCGAAAACCCGCTGAAATAAAAATGTTTCGCCTCAAAAACGGTTGCCGCTTTCTAGGAAGAGCGCAATTTGGTGATATGCTCTATTTCCTCTCTGCACCTTTTTGATTTATATTTTCCCGTTCTTTCCAATTGTCTACCAAAACATTTTTGACGACCCCAAAATGTCTGTTCTATTCTTAAAAACACCCCCACTTACTTTCGCACCCCCGCCAGAAAATCTGGACAAAATCAAGGATTATCCTGATGGACTGACGATGGTCGGGGTACGGTAGCCCCGCTAAAACGCGACAATCTTTTGATTTCATTTTTCAATTTTCAAACGTATTTTTTAAGAAAAACGAGGGTAAAGTGGTGTTCTGTTGGATTGTAATCATACCATTTTTGGAACGAGTTCATAAAACACTATATTACGACACTTCAAAGACTTCTTTTACCTATCATAGGCGGAACATATTATTTCATTATGTTTCCTTGAGTGTTTAAAAAATCTAAAATTCTGAATTATAAGAATGCCTGCGAATTTTTAGTCTGAAATCAAGCCGTAAGGCGGGGAAATCGCCAAATTCGCTAAAAGATTTTCCGAGACGAAAACTATGTTTCCCTAAAACGACACCACAAATTTGACCGAACCACATTAATAGCACCTTCGATCAATTGCACAATTTTGAACTGTTTAAAAGGGGTTTTTATTTATTTTAATAATTTATTAACCGTTCGTGAGTAAAAAATTGGTCGTTGCTGTTGACTTTCTCCGCTACGTTCCAAATGGTCATACAATAACAAAAACCAGGAAACCATTACCTCGTGAAAAAAGGTTGTTTCAGACCTAGATTATCAAAAAATGTCTATTACCACTTCAATTTATACAGCATACATCAGGAAAACCGGTTTTTTGAACTTTTCGAACACTAGCAAATCGCCAAGGTCTAATATTTCATTTCACAAAAGTTTATTTCGTAACAAATCCAGTGGAAAGATTCTATTGCCAATTTATTCTGTTGCGAGCGTAATTCACTTTTCCTGAACCTTCATTGTCTTTTCGAAATTACCTTGCCTGCTTTTTTTAAAAAATGGCTACCAAAATATTTTTGACAACCCCAAAAATTCCATGCGAATCCCAAAAACATCCTCACTTTCTTCCACACCACCGCCAGCAAATCCCTGGCCAATCCTGATGGCCTGACCATTGTCGGGGTACGATAGTCCCGTTGAAATGCGCGGTTCTGGAGATTGTAATTTCAATTTTTTAAAAAAATTTGGCGAAAACAAGGGTAAAGTGCCGTTTCTGTGGATTGTGGATCGAAAATGTTTTAGCGTTTAGCGCAGCCCTTCCGAGCTGCTTTCCAAAATTTATGAATCTCCAAAAGGACATTCGGGTTTGATACAAACCTCAAACCTAGGATAAGCTCCTTAGAGATCGGAGTCGGTCCGACCTATGTTACAGGGCAGTGGGCCAGGTGCGGAACTTTCGCTATGAGGCCCGAAGGCTCCTCCCCTCTTCTTCCCAAATTTTTTAGATGTTTATTTAATTTACTTTGAATTAGTTTCGATTCCCCAATTCTCTCTGCTAAAGTATCTATCATTTATATTGGTCATTTAAATTTAAATATCTTTAAAACAAAGTTTACCTCCCCATAACCCGCCTTTCCCTTCCTCAACCCGTCGGCCAGCTGCTTCATCATGTCGCCATTACTATCTAGCGTCGTCATTCGTTTCAAAATGGCTACCAAAATTTTTTTGGGTCCCAAAGGTTCCATACTAATCCTAAAAACACCCCCACTTTCTTCCCCACCCCCACGAGATCCCTGGCGAAATCAGGGATTATCCCGATGGCCTGACGGTTGTCGGGGTACGGTAGGCCCGCCGAAACGCGACATTTTGGGGATTTAGTTTTTAACTTTGAGGACTCATTTTTGACGAAAACAAGGGTAAAGTGGCGTTCTTTTGGATCGTCAAGAGTTCTTTGTATGAAATCTGGCCGTAGGACTGCGAAATTATGAAATACGCTAAAAACTTTTATCGAAACATAATTTTTTTTCCTCAAGCAACAATGGAAAGTTGGCCCAACAGCATTAGTGTCGTCTGTGCATTATCGAACAATTTCGAATAGATTTTTAACTCTTCAAAGCGTTTATGGTTCACTTGAAGGGATTAAAAAAGCGTAAGCGCCCCGTAATTTAGCTGTTCTTTAAATGGAGCGTTTCCGCGGCTTTCCAAATCGCGATCAGAAAAAAACTATCGAAAGCTTATTGCTGGGAACAAGTATGTTTCAGACTTAACATTTGCCAAAATTTCTAGTATTATTTCAATATCTCCAACTGATTAAATAGTCTTTACTATCTAGCTCTGTCCGTCGTTTCAAAATAGCTGTCAAAATATTTTTTGACGACCCCCTAAAACCTCATTTGAATCCTAAAAACACGCCCATTTTCTTCCACACCCCCTGTCAAATCAGGGATTATCCTGATGGTGTGACGGTTGTCGGGGTACAGTAGCCCCGCTAAAACACGACATTTTTGGGGGATTTAATTATTAATTTTGAAAAAGTGTTTTGACGAAAACAAGGTTTTAGGTTTAGTGTTCCAGGAGCATCTATCAATTAACAAGTTTAAAATAATTTTCTATTACGTATTGCACCAAAAAACATGTTATTCAAAAATTTTTTTCTATATTGAATTTAGGCTTTGATAAATGCGAAAAATAAAACCCTAAAATACTTTAGTAATATAAATTGTGTAGTTTTAATAATATTTATAGGATGATATTCATCGGTTCTCCAAAGAAATTGTAAGGCCAGGGCATGCCAATAAGAACATTACTTGGAAAAAAAATTCTATTTTAAGGCATCAGCCATTGTGGTAATCAATATAAATTTATGACTAGAAAATTTAAATAAATTTTTTTAATTTTTTAAACCACTAAATTTAAATAAAGAGCGGAAATCGAAATCTGAATGCCGAAACTTAATTTGTCAAAATTGAAATATGTCGAAATTGACTTCTTCGAAACTTCATCTTGCCGAAAATCATTTCATCTAAATTCATTTTTTAATTTTCATTTTTTGCAGAATTGCAACATTACATTATTGATTTGAAGCGCAAAAATAATTATTGAAAACCTTTAGTTTTCTACTCTAAAAGGTCAAACGCTTATAAAATAAATGATTCAATTAGACTCCACTCGAAAAATAAATATAATGTATTAATTGTATTTTTGTGGTGAGCCAACAACCAATTCATTGCAAAATTTAAATAAAAATCCGGAATGGGAATTTGCCGGGCGAAAATCAGTTCGTCGAAGTCGATTTTTTTGAAATTTGCTTTTGCCAGATTTGCAAAATTACATGATGTGTTTCGAACGCAAAACTGCTAAAAGGGAAACGCGTATAAAATAAATGTTTCAAATAAATTCCATCTTACATGATTGATAATATAACCTAATATAACAATGATATGATAATAACCATGATTTATTAATCCAGCGTGATACAGATAGCCCACATCAAATCCTGGCGCACGGCGACCTGTGGTGCCCTCAGATCATTTGGGCTGATGATGGCCGGACGATTCGCGGGATTTTGGACTGGCAAATTGCCCACCCTGGCAGCATGGTGAGCGTTGATTTATTTCCTTAAATTCGCTCCACCGCAACAAAAAATTTTGCTAATTGACGATTAATTTAACGATTTAGATGTTGTTAAAATTAGCTAGGCAATTTAGCTAATTTTAAGATTAATTTTGATGAATTGACCCTGGAAAACGGATCGAGAGGGCTGATATTTTGATCTAATTGTAAGAAACCACGATCGATGGCTGAAAAATTGCTCGAGTCTTGAAGCACTTTTTTCGAAACTTACTTGTTGTAGTCATTCATAAACAAAAAAAAAACAGATTTTTGCTTTTATTCCATGACATTCAAATTGCTGAACACCAACGCTTAGATAGTTCCAAAAATGTTGAAACACTCTTTATCATGCAGTATATCATCATTGTACGTGCAAAAAATGAGTTTCGTATAAAAAAAATTTCGGCCATATTGACGGACCTTTAATTGACGACGCGTTTACGAGTCTTGAATCCTAAGGTTGCGAGGGCCCAAAACTTGCCAGAAATCAAAAATAATTTGTTTTAGATGGAAGACATCTCCCGTGTGCTTGCCACGTGCACAAAAACCGAATTGCGGAGACGGCTTCAGCCTAAACTATTCGATCGCTATTACGAGGTGCTGAAAGAGGAATGCGAGAAAAACAATGTTACACCCGGATTCGGACGGGATTTCTTGGACGTGAGTATAATGTAGCTCCCGTTTACTGGAAAAAAGTTTAATTGATCCGAAAAAATTGGTAATGCAAATAAGTCTGTCCCCAGGGAATCTCTGCTAGCCTGCCGGCTGATACCATTCTTTTGGGAGTAGTTTAAAGAAAAGCCTGCAGAAACAATTTGGTAAAAGAATGTTACACACAAATTTGATTAGCTATCGTTGGTTGCGAACTGAACAATGTTTCAGCTTCGTATTCCAAAAATATTTTGCTGTTTCTCGGCTTCAAAAATCTATTTCCGGGTTTTCCCCAGCGATCTCCGCTAGCCTGCCGCCGGGTGCTATTATTTTTAGAACAATTTAATGGCAGTCCAGCAGAAATTATTTGGGAAAAGAATGTTAGAATGGGAAAAGATTTTGATCGGCAATTTTTGGCCGTGCGCTTAATCTCCGGAGTTTGGTTTGTCTTGTTGTGTTTTGTCGACCCGAAAAAACCTGAAATATTCCCGAAAGTTCCCGAGTTTCCCGAAAGAATCTCTGCTAGCCGCCCTCCTGATAACATCATTTTTAGAGTAAGTTAGAAAAGGCTAGCAGAAATTGAAATTATTATAGGGAGTAATTACACAAAAGAATGTTACATGGGTTTTTGATGGCAAATTTTTGACTGCGTGGATAATAACTTCATTCAGTTTTGCTATTTCTCAACTTCAAAAATCGTTCCAATTCCAAGTTGCGGCTTTTCCGCAAAAATCTATGCTAGCTTGCCCTCTATATCGCCTGGTTGTCGAGGTAGATTAGGTAGAGTGCGCCATCAGAAATTATTCTGGAAAAACGATGTTACACCCATCTTCCGCACAGGTTTCTTAGACAAGACTTGATTAGCTTTATTTCTCCGATCAGTTTACAAATTCCAAGCATTTTTTTACCGGAAAAATCTACTTGCGATCCTAAGTATGGCCTGCATTCTTCTCAAATAACCTCTGCTAGCCTACCCTCCAAACACCGGAATTTTCGAGGGAGGCGAGCAGAGATCTGTTCGGGGAAAAATAATGTTATGCATGGACAGAACGGCGGCTTTTTGGATTTTAATACAGTGAGGCATGGTTCGATCCCCAATTATTAGCTCCAGTTTTCCGCAAATAACCTCTGCTAGCTGACCTCCAGATAGCCTTTTTTTCAGGGGGTTTACAAGCAGGCTAGCAGAGATTATTTGCGGAAAAGAATGTTACGCCTGGGAACAAGTACCTCTTAGAGGGCGCGAGTTTAATATAGTGATGAGTTCAACCGAATATTATTTATAAGAGCTTCTAATTACCTAAATAATCTCTGCTAGCCTGCCTGGAAAATAGCGGCATCTAAAGCCGCTTAATAGCAGGATAGCATTTAGAGGCAGGCTAGCAGAAATGATTGACTAGTTATGGAAAAATCTCACACCTCGGGTTAGCTACCGATTTTCGAGCAAGAGTTTAGTGCTGTAACGCATTCGTCTGTAGCCTAACGATACTTAATATCTTCATTCTACTTAAATGATCCCTGCTAGCCTGCGTTTGTGATACCATCATTTTAGGGCGCTTTAATGGCTTCCTAGCAGAGATCATTTGCGAAAAAAATGTTACAATCGTCTTCGACCAGGAATGCCTGGAAATTGGAGTAATCCTGGGCTCTCTTCCAAAAAGTCCAAAAAGTTTAACTAGATCCAAAAAGTTTTGTATTTTCCGCAGCGGATCTCTGCTCGCCAGCTTTTCAAAACTTGTAATTTTCGAAGCATCTTCAAGGAATACGGGGGCCGGCTAGCAAGGATAATTTCGGAAAAGAACCTTTTGCCGAGATTCGACTGAGAATTTTTATATTTCAATATGTTCTCTCAATAGTTGAATATCTCATCATTGCATTAGATTGCAGTTTTTCTCAAATAATCTCTGCCTGACTGCCCCCCTCATGCCATAGTTTTGAAAAGCAATTTAATGGCAGGCTAGCTGATATGATTTGCGAAAAAATGTTACAGGCGACTTCGACCAGGAATGCCTGGAGATTGGCTTAATGCCCGGCTTGATACTGTATCGACCGAATAGATCAATTTCCAAATTTTTAAATTTTTCTTTAAGCCCGTCAAAATTTTATTTTCCGCAAAGGATCCCTGCTCCTCTGCTCTCCAGAGACCGTACTTTGTTACCGTAATTTTCCAGGTATGCTGGATACGTGAAAGGTAGCTTAAAAGCAGGTGAGCAGCGGTAACGAACAAAAAAATGTTCCGTGCATCTTTAATAGGGCATTCCTGGATGTCTGTTTAATGAAGTGACCACGTGAGATGCATTAACGGCCATTCGCCCCCATATACCGTAATTCTCAAGGTATCTTCAGGGCAAGCCAGAAGAAGGCATCTGCGAAAAGAATGTTGCCCACGGCATCGTGGGGTAATTTTTCAAGTTTGATATAATCGCATACTCTGGTGGAATTCAACAAAAAAAAAGCTTAATTTTTTTCATGGTGATCCCGGCTAGTCTGCCTGTTTGGTGCAATAATTCTGGAGGGTACCTCAAGTAGCTTACGGGCAATTTTCTATATATGGTAACATTGGGACAACGAACGGTATTGTTGGGTAATTAAAATCCCAGCAGCAGGCTAGTAGCAATCCTTGAAACGGAGTCAGACCCCGTAATAATCTAAAAGCTACTTTCTGGCGAAGCCTAAGAAAAAATGACTAATCGATGATCGGTCTCATCGATTAGTGAGTTTTGGTAAAACATAAATTTTGTAAAACTATCCTTTTTTGAAAATTGTGTTTCATCGAAAGCTAGGCCGTAACGCACCTGGACACCAACAATACGCCGGCACTACGGGTAGTTTTCAACCATTTCTGGCTTAAATTCGGTCATTAAAACCCATAGCTATGTAAAATTTCGTGAGGATTTAACAAGAGAAGCCCCGAATTTGGAAATTCCAACAGCAATTTAAATAAATTAATTTCTTTCATTCTTTTTCTTTTAGTTATTGATTTCTTCAAATTTGCCCCTTGAAAGAGGGCTGCCAAAGTTTTTGAAAGTAATGTTTCATCCAAATCCGGTCAAACGCACAATTGAATTTGAATAATTTGTGTGTGCCACAGATCACCGAAGTCTAAAGCCTCCTAAATACCGTCTTTAAAAAAGGTAATAATAAATCCCAGGTTTTTCTAAATAAATCATAACTCCTATTTTAAAACCCGTTTCAGAGCGAGTTCAAGCGCATGCTACCTTATACCCTGCCGCAGACGCTGTTCGCCTGCGGCATTTGGGCCAACAGCAACGTGTTGAAGCGGAGTGAGTCATCAAAAATTACGATATGACCTTAAAATATAAAAATTATAAATAGCCTTATCCAATAATTTAATGAAGCTAGAAATACATAATTAAGCCGAAAATAATAATGAAATTTACCGACGTTTGATTTTTTTCTAGATTTTAAGTAGGACGGAGGCTCTTCAAGATTAAAATTAACTGGATATTTCATGACATCACACAAACATGAAACACAATAATTTTGATAGCTCAAAACTGAAATTTTTGAGCATTAGCTTAATTGAAAAACGGTACTTTTCGACACCTCAATTTATTATAATTGATTTATGAAACTTGAATTAATTGATTTATAAATTTAATGAAATTTAAAAAAGGGTTTTGACTTCTCGGTCACGAGAATTAATATATTACTACAATTTTGAATTATTCTGCTAGCAAATTTAATGAAACATTGAAAAACTCGTACGCTAAAATAGAGCCTTAATTAATTTTTCAGCTGTTTAATTGATAATATTTCTACAACAGCACACCTAGCAAAATCCATAAAGTAATTTTCAGGCGACGCTGACGACGATGCGCGGGTATCCGAGATTTTCGCGCGGACCCGCGCCTTTTTCGAGGATGCAAATAAGGTGCTGGGATGGGGCATGAATTCTAATTAGTTGTGATACATAAATAAATAAATCAATCAAAAGAAGAAATAAGTCCTTGAATACAGTGCATCGAACTGAGAAAAACCGACCAATGTGGCAACATCTATTCCGCATTAATCGATTGCTACGAAACAGTTATGAAAAGAAAGTAGCGGGTACTATCAGCAAATAAAAATTTTGCGCATCAACAAATTTGGATGAAACATATTTTTGGAAATATTCAGATTTTGCAATTCCTCATTTTTGTTTTTGTTTCAGAGCTTGCCGTTTATGCAAAAGCTATCTTTTTATTTCTTAAACTAGGATTTTTGTTAGCTTTAAAAATGGGATTTTAAGTCTTTATGAAAACAGTGTTTCGGTATTAAAAGGCCATAGCATCGCGATATCCCCTATACGAAGATACATCGCTCTGGTGTCATTTTTTTAGAAGTTTCTGCACTGTAACAAGGTATCTATTAAAAAGAATTAACAAAGGAGGAATATACCAAATAAAGACAACTATACAAAACGGTATGTTTGTTGATATGAAGAAAATATATGATACTGCGATGAAGTAACACAGAATTTACAGAAAAAACTTTATTACGGAATTTTGAGGACTCTTTCTTCCAAAATTCATGCTTTGTTACAGAAATCATTTTCAATGACCTTCAAACAGCCAGAATCCATAAATGAACCAGCGCTGACCCCCCGCTCCGCGGGGGTTCAGCGCTGGCCCTCCCGGGGGGAATCCCATACACCGAAATCCCGAAATCCCGAAACGCCCCGGCTCCCGGACCCGTCCGAACCGGTCCTGAGGTCCCGCAGCGATCCGGTCGGACGGGCGGGCGGGCGGACGGACGGGCGCACGGACATTAGAAATTTATATATAAGTGATTTTTGTGAAGCATTTTTTTCTTCGCAATACCTATACCCGAAATTTTTCATTTTCATTTTTTTTCGCTTGCCCTTTATGCAAAAGCTTAAAGTGGGAATTTTGTAAACATTAAAAATAGGATTTTAGGTCGTTAAAAAACAGTGTTTCGTTTTTAAAAGGTTACAACATTTCCATCGGACCCATAGTTTGAGCGCGGTTTGACGCCTTTTACAATCAACTATAATAATTTTGCTGTGGTGTCCGTCCGTCAGTCTGTCTGTCTGAAGCCAACTATAACTCGAAGGGGAAAGGAGCTAGAGCTTAGCTCTCTTCGGATTCGGGTAGAGCATGGTCAGAAACCCCTTAAATGATCAAAACATTATAAAAAAGTTTTCGTTTAAATAAAAATAATTAACTTTGAAAGTGGCGCCTTAATAAAACGAGTGGGGGCCCTCTCCCCGGGAGGCCACGCCCCCTTTCTCTTCGCCCCTGTGCCCCAGGCCCTTTCCCGCGCCCAGATGCCTTTTTTGAGTTACTTTAATGCTTTTTAATATGTTTTAATTATGTTAATTCGTTATTTAAATCATTTAAAGTGTCGGGATGGAATCTAAGTAGTTTTTTAAGGGGGTTTCGTCTATGGCGGATATCTGAAGCCATCAAGAAGGTATTTAGGTAGTTCGTTGAAGGGGATTTCGGCTAGGGGAGGTATCTTAAACCATCGGGAAGGTATTTAGGTAGTTTTTGAAGGGGATTTCAGCCATGGGGGGTATCTGAAGCCATCAGGAAGGTATTTAGGTAGTTTTTGAAGGGGATTTCGGCTAGGGGAGGTATCGTAAACCATCGGGAAGGTATTTAGGTAGTTTTTGAAGGGGATTTCGGCTAGGGGAGGTATCTTAAACCATCGGGAAGGTATTTAGGTAGTTTTTGAAGGGGATTTCAGCCATGGGGGGTATCTGAAGCCATCAGGAAGGTATCTAAGTAGATTAGGTATCTAAGTTTTTGCAAGATATCGAACTTTAGGTATTTGAGGTGATCAGCGTGTGTACTGATGAAAGTAGAGATTTAATGTGGTGGCGTAGAACATGGAGGGTAGCCCGAAGGCCAGCCGATTGCAGTCGCGAAGCGGCTGTAATCGGCTGGTAAGATTATAATGGTTTATGAAGCATAATAAAGTATATGTTGTGAATATTAATACAGAAATAAAAATCGATGAGAAATAAAAATATGCGAAGATTAACGGTTGTACAGTAGTAATATCGAGAGTATAATAAATGGCTTTGGCACCGTGGGATACCCATTTCAATGGAAAACAGGATTAAAGCAGGGGTTGTTGGATGACAATAGGAAATTGTGAAATGAATGTTAGGTGGAAAATCGAACAATTTTCGAATTTCGGTGGTCTGGATCAGGGTTGGTCATTTTTGACCCGGGTCGGACCCGGACCCGGACCCGGACCCGGACCCACCCGGACCCGCAGAAATTTGCATGGGTCCGGGTCCGGGTCCGGTCCGGGTCCAGGTCCGGGTCCGGGTCCGGAAGTTGCGTATTTGCATTTATTTGAGATAGAGATTTAAGATTCTAATTTTCCTCGGAAAAAGACAACGGCATTAATTATAATGGTTTATCCCGTATGATTCAGGTATATAGGAGTCGAGACCTGAGCATCAAATCACAAATCGTGGCAATTTTTGGCAAAAAATAACGAGAAATTGCTACATTCCTGGCGTTACGGGGTGACAATTGGTTACGATCGGTTGTTATACAATGTTTAACTAGGCTAAAATAATAACAGGCCGAAGTTAGCAGACGTGAGAAATGTCGTGCAATATCGTGGAATTTATCCAGAAATCGGCATGCAAATGACCCGGACCCACCCGGACCCGGACCCGGACCCGGACCCGGACCCGGACCCATGCAAATTTGATCGGGTCCGGACCCGGACCCGGACCCCCCGGGTCCGGACCGGGTCCGGGTCCGGGTCAAAAAAGACCAACCCTGGTCTGGATGCTTACATTAACAAAATCCAAAAACTTTGTTTTTTAAAAATTGTTGAAACATTGAAAATTTCAAAATTGCGCAAAATTTTAATTGAATTAAGAATGCGGTATTTTTATAAATAACTAGTTATATATTAAAGTGCAGAAACTACAGTATACTGCAGCAGCAACAGTTCGTCTTCTGATAGTTGCCCATCTCGGAGCCGTACGAGCTGGAGACCGAGGGTCTGGGGAAGAGGTTGCCTGCAAAAATTGGGTTAGACGGTGATGTTTCATAATATTTTATAGAACCGAAATTTTTTCGATTGTTACTGCGTCCTCGTGAGCTAATCCGTTATTATAGTTCTGGTCAAATTTTGAGGATTTCTATGAAAAATGTTTCAAAAAATAACGGGTCTCGAATTTTTGGAACCGGATTTAATGGCTTTGGTTCTCTCACTGCATGACCCTCTTCCATTTTTCGGCTTTACTAGGGAAGTATCTGAACTTGCCATCGAACCTTGAGAAGTCAGATACACCATTCGACGCGCCGTAGCGCGAGGATTCCAAATATGTAATAAAATCAACGGGAGCGCATAACGGTAAAAAGTTATGAGGGTTCAAAGTCGGCAAAATGACGAAAAACAGTAACTTTGAGACCCTGTATTATCCCGCGGAATGGAATTTAGTATAAACTGATTAGTGCTCCTTATTCAACAAAGAAAGCTCTTTCAAATGAGCTATATTACATACGACTGCCAAAAATTTCCGCCAAAAATATTTTTGGAATGCAGTGTAAGGGTAGGGTATGGCCAGCTAGCCGAAGACTTTTCGAGAATTTCGCGTAAAGCGCAGGTAAGATAGCTCATTCGAAAGGGAATTTTCTGCTGATCAAGATGTACTGTTCCGTTTTTGAAAAATTAAATTCTTCGAATTCGCACCGAACCTTAAAAGGGCGGTTTCCGACGATTTTGCCAACTTTGATATAGAGAGCGTCCAATCCTGGTTTTGTTGCCGGAGTTTATTTTATCATCGCTGGTGCTTTTTAGGGGCCACACAGTCAAGAAAAACTGATTCCCGGGTTTGGACATGCAAAAAGTAGGAACTGGTCAAAAAGCAAAAAAGAAAAATCGTGAGGGGATCCGAACCCTGGTCAGACAACCCAGAGACCCATGCGGACACCACTAGGCCACGAGACCGATGGACAGGGTGCGCTGGGAGGGGCTCTTCTCGCGGCGGCGGATTTCAATGTAAAACTTAAAATGCTCATAACTTTTTACCGTTATGCGCTCCCGTTGATTTTATTACATATTTGGAATCCTCGCGCTACGGCGCGTCTAATGGTGTATCTGACTTCTAAAGGTTCGATGGCAAGTTCAGATACTTCCCTAGTTAGGCAAAACTGCTCCAAAAAAATAATTGGAAGTTATTGTTTTGGTTTTTTGCGATTAACAAAATGTTCCAAAAATGTGTATCTAGGAAGTTGGTGTATTTTGGTAGGTCCATCCTTATTATTATTTTTCAAATTAACGTTTAAGACCTCTCAATAATAAAGCACACGCATACAACGTTTTAGATAAAATTTGTGCAAAAATGTTTCAAAAAGTTTGACAGATTGAAACCTTTGTTTGGGGGTAATCGGCATTTGATGGATGGATTTGAAAATTACAAAAATACCGTACCGTTTGAGGGTTGCGTGACGACCACCTTGGGGATACTCTTTTTCTGGATCGGCACCGCCGCGGCTTGCTTCTGAAAATGAAAAAATTAATGAAATAACCGTAGAATTCAAGTTTAGGCATTTTTGCTAATTTTTAAATAGTTAAAAAATTATTTTTCAAACTATGACATTTTGGTAAAGTAATTTTGAAACGTATTTTCTGCGAAAAATAAGTTAATGAAGACGATTTTTTAACTTTGCTAATATTAAGGCCAATTAATTATACCGCAGGGTTTAATAAGATTTTTATAGGCATTCTTATCAACGAAATAATACGTCCTTCATTTTTCCGCGGTTTTTTACAGATAGTTGCAACATTAATTTTCGCGAAGAATTTTCGGAACTATGAACACATTGAATACAAATTTAATAACGTAATATACCACCCGAAAAAATGAATTAATGCTACCTTCTTCTCCTGCGGGTACTTCAGGTCGATCCAGAAAATTTTTACGGCGTTTTGGAGCATAGTTAAGTTAGTAAAGTGAGGGAATTGGTTAGCTGCGCAGATTCTTCAGGAAATTGTAGGCTGCGAGAGGAGGGCAGGCTAGCAAAGATTCTTTAGAAAGAATAGGCTTCGAGTAGGGGAATCTTCCAGAAAGCCGGAGGATATATCGCAATTTGTTGGGGGTGGGGGCTGGCTGGTCTGGCCTGGCCCCACCCCTGAAGCCCTATTTATCCCCCTTCGAGAAAAGGGTGAGAAATAGGGCGGAGGGGCGGGATTACCGTATTTTCCACCCCACAGACGCCACCCCCACGTATTTACCGCAAAAACCCCCAGCCGCCCGGCTGGGGCTTCCTAATCCGGAGGATAAGATATGATGGGGGAGGACGGGAGATCTGTGAAATGTTACGTGCGACAATGGTCCCGATTTTCTCAAACACTCTCTGCTAGCCTGCCCTCCTCTCGGGGTCCGTCCATTTCCTCAAACAATCTCTGCTAGCCTGCCCTCCTCTCGGGGTCCGTCCATTTCCTCAAACAATCTCTGCTAGCCTGCCCGCCTCGCGGGGTCCGTTCATTTCCTAAAAGAATTTCTGCCAGTTGGCCCTATTCTCTATTTAATTCTCTGTTTTTCCTGTTTCATGTTTCAAGTTTCGACTTGCCAATTGAGTTCCTTGACTCAATATTGCTGGATCTAGTTTTACTCGCTAAAAACCGAGGCGGCGCAAGTTTATCAGATTTGAATAAAAATATGGGGGAATTTTAAAGGAAGGCTGAAGTCAAAATTTGGAACACGCAGAAGCATAATGCTAAATTACTGGAAAAGTGGTCTTTTCAAGGATAATGCTGTCAATCTATTTAGGTAGTGTTGTTGTCTAATGTGTATTTAATCCTAATACTTAAAAATGTAAAGTTTATTTCAATAACGGCAGGTTCGGAAGGCCAAATCAGGAATTAGCTAGCATGGGAAAACCTTCGCCAAGGATTGTCCTTTTCAAAAAAGATGTTTTACAAAGTTTCCAAGTAGCATATCGATATGGGTTAACAATAGGATTCTGGTTTTGATTTTGATCGTATGGATTCGCTTTTGCTCACTTTTTTTTGGCAAAAACGGAAGCTAGTGCTAATTTGCTGCTAATTTGATGTAGCACCCAAAATTGAACTTTCAGATAGGATTTTTTCGGCAAGACGACGGCTTCTTTCAATGCTTAATTCGCTACATATTTCCTTTTTTCTAATTGCCTCACCACCTCAAAAAATGGCATCATTCTCTTGCCCTTAAAAATTCACGATTTTCCATCATAGTTGCGTATTTTCGGGGGCTAATCCGGGCCACCGCCCGGGTGCAAAATGCCAAAATATGCACTTTTTGGAGGCGGCGGGATTACGGTAGTCCGGGCGGCGGGGGGGTGTACTGTTGTTTATCGGGGGATTTAGTACGCGAGTGAACGGAGCTTCTTTTGTACTCGTTTTTGGTGTTTTTGATGTCTACAGAAAAATTGCGATCAGACCTTCCCATAGACCCATTGATGGTGGCAAAAAGGAGCAGAAACTGTTAAATTTTGAAACGTGTTTTCAGACTTTACTTTTTACATTTTGAAAATTTTTTTAAATGATTAGAAAGTCAACAACACTAACCACCAAAAAACACCCAAAATTTGCAATTGGACGAAACATATAGTTTTTTTTAATTTTTGAAGCTTCTAAAGCGATCTGGTTTTTGCTAAAAGTTTTAAATCGATTTCCTCAAAGAATCTCTGCTAGCCTGCCCTCCTCCAGGGGTCCGAATTTCCTTTAGGATCTCTGCTACACCGGGTTTTTTCGATAAGTAATAAAAGGAAAGTATTAATACAAAAGTAAACTAATTAAAACATATTAGGAAAGAAGAAAGGCTCAAGAAAGAGCTAGTACTGGGAAAAGTATACTAGAGAAGCCTGTTTCGACCCTAGTCCAAGACAGGCAAATTTTCGCTAGGGTCGAGTCTCCTCAGTTGGAAGCCCTAGCGGAAATTAGAATATTAATAATTTTTTGGGATAGTTTATTTAATTTAAATAAAATCCCTTTCGGGAATATATGTTAAGTTTTTATCGGGTTAGTAGATTTACTTTATTTTCAGCTCTCTACGACTATGTTAGCCGAAGACGAAGGCACGCTGACAGGCCTATTAAAATTGACATCAACCGCGAATTCCGGGATTTTTCTGAAACCTCACATTTCCACGTGCCCCCTTTCGAAATCTCATCAGCGACCCAAATGCGTCAACGCCGCTCCCAGGTGCCAAAAACGGCTGCGTGCTTTTTGCTGTTATTTCCCACCCCACTCGCGCAATACCCCGGCCCGGAATTCCGGAAAATATGGACTCCCCCGTCACGCAACCCCTATTTTGACGTATCGCGTCAAAAATAGCGCAGAATAGTGGAGTGGTACTCGATACAAGGGTGAGGTATAGGGGGTGACATTAAGAAAGCGTAAGGGCGGGCTAGCTAGGAAATGTTTGAGGAAATGGACGGACCCCGAGAGGAGGGCAGGCTAGCAGAGATTGTTTGAGGAAATGGACGGACCCCGAGAGGAGGGCAGGCTAGCAGAGATTGTTTGAGGAAATGGACGGACCCCGAGAGGAGGGCAGGCTAGCAGAGATTGTTCGAGGAAATGGGCGGACCCCGAGAGGAGGGCAGGCTAGCAGAGATTGTTTGAGGAAATGGACGGACCCCGAGAGGAGGGCAGGCTAGCAGAGATTGTTTGAGGAAATGGACGGACCCCGAGAAGAGGAATTAGAGGACCTTTGGCAAAAATAACAAAATGCTTTTATTAGAGGTTCTTCCAACTTAAAAGCAAGAGCCGGTTACCGGTTATTATAAAGACCGCCTTATGATGTGTACAAGCCACATACTGACAAAAAAATGTTCCAGAAAAATTTATATTTCAGCCGTTTTTGATTCGAACAATCCGTCCATGGGTTGGAACAATTGCTTAATTCAAGGGACCAGCACGGTAGCAGAGATTCTTTCGGAACTATTTTTGTTTTATTTGTAAACTACGGAGCAAGGCCATTCCGCAAGAAGCCTTTTAGCAATCAACAAAGTGAATATTCCTTGTGCGTGCTGACACGCAGGAAATGGGCCTGTAAATAGCGGAAAATCAGCGTTTCATGATTTCTGTAGCTTAACCTCGTTGGGATTGCCTACAGTACGGGAATTGTCATTTCGGATTGGTGCGGAATTGATGACTAGGCGATGGTGTTTTAACTGATTGAAAAACTTAGAGCGTAGAAGGGGAATCGAGGCCTCGATAATAAAAATGTGTTTTGCAGAAACGGCTCTAGTTTCGTTTATTTGACACCACAATAATCTCACCTCTGCCGAATGGAAATAGTAGGATCAAAAAATCTCATTGAATTTTGGTGTGTTCACATTGCTAGAGAATCGGAAGTATAAGCGCAATGAAATGTGTAGCGGGGCTGTCATTTAAAAAAAAAGGCTTCAGAGAAGTTACAGTCCCCGGAAAAGGTTCGGCCAACAATCGATTGGGGGTTTTCCACACGAATTTAGTTTAACGGCCTCGTACAAGGGGATTTTCATGGCTCTTAACAAATTGGCGCGCTTTATAATAATACCTTTCAAAAATCCGGAACCCCGACGAACTGCAGAAAATAAAGATGTTTCTTGAGAATTCGGTTTTAGCGCGGTTTTTGGCGTCAGTACTGGCTCCCAGTTTGCGTTGCAAATCAACCGAAATTCAATATTTTTTAAAAGACTGTCTCGCTGAGATTCTTTAGGAAATATTTTTGTTTTATTTCAACGACAGTAGCTAGGAAATTTCTTCAGAAGCTTTGTAGCACACCACAAAGTGAATATTCTTTGTGCGTGCTTACATACGCTGGAAATGGTCTGTAAATAGGGGAAAAAAAAATCAGCGTTTCATGATTTCTGTAGCCTACCTTCGTTGGGATTACCCACAGTATGTTAGGACATTGTCGATCCACGCTAAATCCATGACTATCCAAGACGTTTTGGTCGATTGAAAAAGTGGAGTGTGGCAGCGTACCGGGCGGGTTTCGAAACATATGTTTAGTAGAAATTCGACTAGATTTGGTTTCTACGGGTGGTATTAGTTTGAGCCCAATTGCGTCATTAACGAGGGTCTGGACGGCATTAAAAACATATCTTTCAGGAATATTCCTTGCTCCGGAGTAAGAGTTATCAACTTAATGGATTCCTGCTTAGGAAAAATCTGTTTCAACACAATTACGGGTTTCGGTAGAAGCCAATTCGACAATTTCTCATCCGTATAACGCACTAATATGCTTCTCACTGCAGCTTCGTCCAGATAAAAACGTGCAAACGATATAGATAGTGATAAAAATTCTTGGAAATGAAAATGTTTCTTCAAAATTCAATTTTAATGAGCTTTTTAAGCCGTTAATTCGGTCTACATTGGCGTTTGTAATATTCTTCAATTCAACTACAGCTAGGCAATTTCTTAAGAAGCTTTTTAGCAATCAATAAAATGAATATGCTTTGCGCGTGCTTACATACGAAGGAAATGCCCTGTAAATAGAGGGAAAATCAGCGTTTCATGATTTTTGTAGCTTACCCTCGTTGGGATTACCTACAGTATATCACATGTCATTGTGGGAACCACTCGGAATTTTATGACTATGCGAGGGTGCTTTAGCTGATTGAAAAGCGATTGAAAAGAGAGTAGAGGCCTTAATAAAAAAAGGTGTTTTGTAGAAACGGCTCTAGTTTCGTTTATTTGACATCACAATACCTTGACTAGATATGACTGAAAAACCCGTGTCATTAAAAAAAAATCGGATTCCAGGCAGGTGCATTTCTAGAGACACGGAAGTATAAACCTAATGAAACGTGTAGCGCGTCTGTCCTTTCAAAAAAAAATGTTTCAGTGAAGTTACAGTCACCGGAAAGGTTCGATTCAATAATCTGCAGCTGACATCGGCCTTCTAATGAAAAATTGATTAATCTGCCTTCTAAAACGAGCATTTTGCGGTCATTGATAAATTGGTA